AAACAAGAACTGTCTTTGTGGAGCATCTACCCCTAGCCAGAACACCACCTCAGCTCTCACTTGTAAGCACAGCCAGGATCATGGACGGTCCAGCTGTGCTTTTCCACAGCCATGTCCTGCCTGCAAGAGTCCTGAGCAGAGAGCACCATCCCAGCATGCCAACTCCTGTTCAGTGAAGCAGAACAAAATCACTGCCCCACAAAAACAACATAAATAACAACATCTCTCCCCCCTTCTCAAGGAATAGGCAGCAATCTTTATACTTAACACTAGAAGATCTTAAATTATTTTATGGGAAAACATTTTTGGATGCATCTACAGGACTTCCTCATATACTCTATTTAGCAGAGACATCTGTTACTCAATATATATATATATATTTCATCTAAATCCCACCCTCTGAATCCTTTCCATCAGTTGTCACTAATGAAGCTTTGTGTGCAAAACCAAGCACATTCTGCCCCCATTAGGAAGCCAATTACAGCAGGAAAAACAAGCAATTAACAAGGTGCAAAATAAACATCTTGCCACCTGCCTTTTAATAGCAACCCCACTTCAAACAAGTCACAGTCTCAGCACAGCTTACAGAATTGGCAACTGATATTATATATGTATTTATGCAGCAGCTGTTCTTCATTGCAACAAATATTACAGGCTTACCAGATAAGGTCAGCATATTTAAAAAAACATATAGCAAGTATTAAAACCTGCTTTGAGGCCCTGAATGATGCTTTTAATGAAATCAGCAGCATCAGGCTTGTGTGGCATTATAGTAGAGCTGCAGTCACATCCCCAGCTTAGAGAGATTTCTCCTCATTTCTCCTTGCTTAGCAGCTTCAGCATTTGTTTCGCTAAATCCAGGAGCATGAGCAGCTCTTAAATAGTGTGTGGGGCAACCAACAGCACAAAGCTCTACAGAGCAGACAGTCTTTCCTGCTTCCATCATCCCTGCCTCTCCTTGGCCTTCTCCACCTCCCTACCATCACATCACTACACCCAACTGCACTGTGGAGCTGGGGGAAGAAAGTCACTCACTAAAAAAAAAAAAAACTTTAAAAAAATATTCAATGAGGAAAAAATCTATATTCCATCTCACTCTTTGCTCCTTAAGCCTTCATGATTTAGAGGGGAAAGGAGGACTTCCAAAGACACCGTAGCTAGCTCCAGAGGGTGCTAGAGTAGCTTCCCTTCACCTTTTGTGTGGAACAGGATGAATGACACACTTCTGAGTAGTTAACCAGGACTAGAGAAAGCCCAAGAGCACGTCTGCAAGATTTAGCAAACTTGGAGTGGAAAACGTGCCTGAAAAAAATAACAGCCAAGCTTCATCCTGCATATTTGTTTTTGTATCTTTCCCTCTTGCTCTGACTATCCACTGCTATGTAAATTATTTATATACATTAAACTTTCCATGTCACATTTCAGTTCCTGACTAATGTCCTATTTAACCACTCATTTCACGATTCATGTGAGTCTCTTCCTCTTAGGATTCTTCCCTCTCTGGTCTCGTTGGGATCCGAGGAACAAAATACTGAATACGGTACTTTTTCCATTGTGCACAGGATTCTGAGTGTTAGCTGGAGATGGAGAGAAAATTGTTAACATTCTTTCTCTAAATGACCACAGGGAGCAACAGGGAAGAGAGCTTTTAACTCCAAGCAGGGCCAACAGGGCTACCCACAGCTTTATAGAAGTCTGCATCATGATCAATAGCACTAAAACAATCCGTCAGGGAAAAGTTTTCATAAAAAGTCCTATATTTAAATAACAATTCACTACCCTTGAATACCACTGGCATGTCAGATCTTAAAAGACCAACATCTCCAATTCTGGCCATTATCTACACGTACACAGAATAAGCAAAGTCAGAAGAAGGGGAACAACGACAGGAGGTGAAAGTGGTGAAAGGTCAAAATTTACCAGACTCGCGAGGCTGCACACCTAAACCGGACCTACTGCAGCCAAAAAGTAAAAAACACCTTTTAGCTACCAGTTTCTCATGCTATCAGTGCAAGTGCAGAGATCTCTCAAGTCTCCTCCAGCCCTAATTACAGAGACAAGGTCAGAAAAGACAATCTGCCAGCATGAGCTGCAGGAGGTCATATGGTCACTCTAGCTACAGAAGTATTTTAGGAGTAGTTCAATCAGCCAGGTCACTTAACTGACTTCATTTCTGTTTGTTTTTTTAAACAAGCAGCAATATTTTCCCTTGCATTTTGTGGATGGGAGAACAGGAAGCAGGGTCTACTCCTTAATGACCAGCCTAGGATTTCAGTACACATCACTAACAATGCCATGGAGCAGCCATGGCTAGCTGCATTTTACAGATTTAAATCCACCCAAAAATGCCAAGAAGGAGCCTCATCCCAACAGTGACAGTGGGTCAGAACGCTGTCAGCTTTCAGAAGTTGTTCAGATCACAGGAAGAAGGCGGGTGCATTATCTGCACTGCCTCACAACAAATCCACGTGACAGAAGCTGCTCAAGCTGCTCCAGCTGCACATCAAGAAAGCAGCCCACAGTTCTCAGGCTTTCTTCAACTCGATTAATTCTAGGGCAGTCTCTTCTGCTTAATGTTGATGAGGGCTGCAATGGGTTTTCTGACCAGCAGACTGCCTGAAGGCCCAAAAAATCAGCAGTTTGAGGACTGCTGTTTATTGCAGGTGGCAAGAGACCAGAAATGTGGCAAGAACTTACTGTGAGAAAGAGTTGCACTTCTGGTTGTAAGAGCTGGGACTTCAACTCTTGCAATTCTTCTTCAAAGGATGCTTAAAGAGACCCAGTTGTTGAATTCTTTCCACCCTCTTCAAAAGGATGGCTGAAGAGATCAAATTTCACTAAACACTAACAGCTGAGTGCCATCAGTACCCAGCTCACCTGAACAAGAGTGGAAAGCTGGCAATGCCACAAATGGCTCAAGCTGCAGACCTCCTAATCAGCGTGAGCTAACAGCCCATAAAACACTGACTAATTCCCAAATAGTCACATGTGTGCACATTCTCCCACAGCTCTTCTAAACAGACTTCAGCAGTTTGGCAAATGGTCAGATTAAGCAGAGGATATATGAAGTTAAGCAGAGAATGTTTTTGGTATGTAGCAGTTTCTCCAGGTCACAGTTCATAAAAATCTTTACTACTTCTAGGATCAAAGGAGCTACAACCGTGAAAGACCTATTAGTTCATTAGGTCCATCACCCAGCCAAAGCAGGTTACCCAAAAAGACAGGACAAAGTTAAAGTAATGGTGTGCGAACAAGCCAAATACATTTTGCTTTGGAAAAAAAGACGCTAAGCAAAGTCAGATATGTGAACTCGGTCCAAAAGTTAAAGTTCAGTTTTGTTTTTAAGAAATAAGCAAGCACATTTCTACAAGGCAGCTATAAAATGCTAACCTATATCTAATGCTGTGGCTTAGCTATGAAGCCCAGCTCCAGTCCCTCTTCCTCACTCTCAATTGCAAATTTCCATCTCCAAACACAAATGCCTTTTACCACACAGTTCAGTAAGAAAATTACTTCGGAGCCCTGGTACTGAAAATGCATCAAAGCACAATCTTCAATTTCTCAACTCCCCACCCCCTCCAACCCCCAAAAAAAGAAAGAAATCAAAGGATAAAAAGGAAAGACACAGTTTTTCTCCCACTGGCCTACAATAACAATAATGATCATAATCTAGAGATCGCAGGAGGTTCATCTACCCTCCATGCCAAGTCAATTTGCTCCATTCACAACTGCGCATAATTATTCCTGGGACTGCAAAAATTACTGTCTTTTCACTAGCAATAGAATTGTAAAAATGCTTTCAACCTCAAGCCCTTATTTATTAAAACAAATCTATTTGCTCTTTTACGGTTCATGTTAGGTCTGGCATTTCTGTGCAGAGGGTCAATAATCCAGTCGTTCAAAAAATAGTCACGAAAGACGTATTAACATAAGCTGTGCATTAAGACACAATTATTTATATGCTTGACATTAATGGCTCTGCGCTGTGCACTGTATCAACTCACAGATACTTTAGCAGGAAAATAACAACACTTTGGGAGAATTTCTGCTCTCCCAAGGACAATTAGCCTAACGCTAACGCTGAAACGAGAGAGCAATAAGGACTGACAGAGGAATGCTTCATCCCAGAGTCTCCAGAACAGCGATGCCCGTCCCCAAAGTTTGCACCCATCACAGCACGCTTCCCTCCGCTAAGCACACAGAGCCCGTGCCTAATGCTTCCCCAATCCTTAGATTAATGAAATACGAGTGAAGCAGTTTCAAGATGCGTTATCCTCTGCTCAGAGCTCCCCGGCGCGGGCGCCCAGCGGGACCGGCGGCGCTGCCCGCAGCCAGCCGCTGACTGTCCCCCGAGCCGGGGGAGCGGCCCCGGCCGCCGCGGGAAGGCTGCTCTGGGTGCGGGCACGGCCGCGACAGCAGGCGGTACCGGGGCAGCGCACACCTCCGGGAGCTCAGCCGCGCACCGGGCACAGCCCGGCGGAGCAGCACCGCCAGCTAACGGGACGGCGCCGCGTCCCAGCTGGCCCCGGAGTTCGGAAACTCTGGCAAACCCGCAGCCACCGCAGCGCCCGCAACTTGGCCGGGGCTCGAGGGCGAGTGGCACCGGAGAGATATCGCCTGTCCGGGCTGTACGGAGCCGCGGAACAGCCCCGCAGCGCCGGGAGCGCGCTGCGCGCCGGGCTGTGCCGCCGCCTCCCGCCCGAGGGGGCCGCCGAACCGCGGGCAAACAGCCCCGAGCGACGCCGCGATGCTGCGCCGACAGGGTCGCGACACGGCGACAGCGGCGGGTCCCACCGCCCCCCGTTCCCCTGCCCCGGGGGAGCGAAGGACACACGGCGCCGGTGCCCCTGCCCGCGGCGCGGCGGAGTGCGGGGCTGCCGCGGGGCGCCCCGGCTCCCCCCTCAGCCCCGCCCGCCGGGATGCCCACCCTGCACCCCTCAGCCGGACCGGGCGGGCGGCTGCCGCGCCGCGGCCACCAGTTGCGCTTCCCGCTGCGGTACCTCAGCCAGGACGGGATGAGAAGTCCGCCCGCTGCCGAAGCCCTCTCGCAATGCAACAAGTGCCCGCCCGGGCGCGGCGGGAGGAGGCGGCGCGGGGGCGGTCGCGGTGCCGCCGCTCAGCGCTCGGGGCGCCCCGGCTGCCACTCACCGCGCCGCGCGCCCAGCCCAGAAATGTGGCAA